ACGCGCTGTTGGAAGCTTTGCTTTGTCTCCCCCACAGGGAACTCGCTGATGGCTCCGGTGGGGAGGTGGCAGAAGGGGAAGGACCTGACCTGGTACGCCAAGGGGAAGAGCAGCCGTGGGCAGGCTCTGTCCAGGGAGGAGGAGCTGGCTGCCGTGCGCCAGGCCGAGCAGGAGGCGCTGCGAGCCGCCCTGTAAGTCTTCACCTCCGCCTCCGTTTTTGGCCACTGCACCCCGAAACTCTGGAACGCTCTCCTAACCCCCCCCCCCACCGGGGCTTGCCCCTTCCTTCACCGGCTCGGAGTCAGAGACTCCGACACTGTCAAGCGCTCTGGAAATGCCATGGTGACCGGACAACGACAGAGCCCGGCTCGGAAGGCGCAGTCACTACACTTTACAGGGTATCCTGTGAAACGCTAACTTCAAAGATCTCCCACCGGGCTATTGGGAAAGAGGAGGGAGTTTCTCTCTCACTCCCGGTGTCATGGCCGATAATCCCCCCCCACCCAGACAGATAAAATCACTCTGTCACTTCACGGCTGTTTGTAGTGACGTCGCTGAGTGTGAATTGACTGCCGCAATCGTTTACAAAACGCACAGTCACTACACGGGTCAGAGAGTCTCTGGGAAGCCTGTCGGGTATCCCGTGCGGATGAGTGACGTTGTTTCTGACTGTTTGTGTGCAGAGGCCACGGGAATTACAAGCGGAAACCCACAGGAGTGAGCAAAGAGGTGAGTGAGGAGCGGGGTACGAACCCCCCCCCCCCCCCACTTCCTGCCCCAGTCGCTTCCATTTCCTCTCCCTCTCGCTCCCTACTTCCTCTCCCGCTTGCCTTCCCCTCCTCTTCCTCTCGATCGCCCCAACTTCCTGTCCCTATCGCCCTCATTTCCTCTCCCTCTCGCCCCACTTCTCGCCCCACTCCCCATAACTTCCACTCCCTCTCGCCTTCACTTCCTCTCCACTCTCAAGCGCACTCTCTTGGTCGCTGTTGACCGTCCCTTCACCCCTTGGCACCTCCCTGCTTCTCCGACCTGCTTACCCCCACCCCACGAACCGCTGCCTCCACTCGGCCGGCTTCGGGCCTCCTGCAAGTTCCTCGTGCCCTCCGTTCCACCATCGGTGGTGAGCCACTACGTCCCGAAACTCTGGAGCACTTTTCCTCCATCCCTCGGCCTTGTCCCTTCCTTCCCCATCTTCAGGTCGGGTCCGAAGACCTTCATATTGGTCGGGCTCCGCCACTGTCAAGCGCTCTGGGACTCTACCCTGTGTGAGGGGCGCTGTGTAAATTTGGCGTCGTTGCCGTCTGTATGTTTCAGGAGTTGGCTGAGGTGTGTAAGCGAGAAGCCTCCGACCCGGACAGTAAGGACGTTGACCGAGTGTTGGGTCTCGGCAGCTCCAGGTAGGAGGAGTGTGTTCAGTCTGCGAACGTGTGTTTGCCTCTCTAATAATAATAATAATCCTTGCATTTGATATAGCGCTTTTCACGTCGGGAGGACGTCCCAAAGCGCTTCACAGAACACACTGTAAAGTGAATTGACTGTATATTTGTGGGTGAACGCGGCAGCCAATTGCGCACAGCAATGTCCCACAAACAGTCGTGGATTGAAAATGACCGATTTATTATTGTTTTGGGTTTTGGAGGGATTATTATTAGGCTCTGTGTGGAGTAAGGAAACTTGCCCAAGGTTTCGCCCTCTGCCCTCTGGAATTGAACTCAGATCTCTCACTTGCAAACCCGAATAATAATACAAAAATAATAATAATCCTTCCATTTTGATACAATCAAATGACCTTATCACATTGTTGAGGTGTCTCAAATGCCTCACAGGATATACTGTAAAGTGTAGTGTTGGTCAAACGCGGCAGCCAATTGCGCACAGTTGTGGATTGAGTGTCCAAATTATTATTATCTCTCTCTGAGTGTGTCTCTGTCCGTCACTCTCTGTTTGTCAATGTGGGTTGTGTGTTTCTGTCTCTGTTGTCTGTTTCTGTCTATGTGTCAGGATCTACCCCCCCCCCCCCCGCGCCCCGTGAAGGGCACTATATAAATACAAGTTGTTGTCTGTGTTTCTCTGTGTGTCTTTGTCAGTGTATTTCTGTGTGTGTGACTGTGTGTGTGTGTGTGTGTCTGCCCTCTTTTATGCACTTGCTGTAGTACCTGATGTGACCGGTATTGAGCAATGCCGATGTGCCTCCACAAGGCGGCAGCTCTGTTCGCCGTGAGTGTGTGTGATGGATGGACTTTGTAGCTCTGATCTTGGAGGGAGGGAGAGAGGAAGAGACATCTTGTGGAGGGACATCAGCAACTAACCCAGTTGTCAGTCGACCGGCGGGTCGTTTTTCCGGGGGGTAACAATCCCTTTAAAAAATAATCCGGTCACTCAATCCACGACTGTTTGTGGGGACGCTGTTGTGTACAATTGGCTGCCGCGTTTCGCCCACAAAATAACCAGTCACTAACCGGTCGCCCACAGGAACCAAGCAGGTGGTTGGGGGAGGGGGTGGGGGGAGGAATTGGGTCAGGTAGGGGTGGAGGGCAGTGAGGGTGGGGGGTGTGAAATCGCGGTCGAAGAAGAGGGTCTTGAGACGGGCCTTGGAGGAAGCGAGGGAGGGAGCGAGGCGGAGGGTCTGTGGGATGGAGTTCCAAAGGGTGAGGCCAGAGAAGGCTGAAGGCTTGACCGCCGTTGGTAGGGCGGCCCGGGCGGGGGCCATGGAGCAGGCCGGAGAGGAGGGAGCGGACAGGTTGATGTGAGGTGAGCGGGTCACGGAGGTAGGGAGGGGCAAGAGGCCGTGGAGGGCTTTGAAGGCGAGGACGAGGATTTTGAACGCTGAACGGTCCTCCAGCGAACTCTCCCAAACCCTTCACTGGTCAGTTCTGGCTCATACTGCCCCCTGGTGGCCAGACACGCACTAACCTCCGCCATGTCTATTGCAGTGGGAGTTTGCCCAGGATGTCACTGACACAAGAGGATCGTAAGGCAGCCAAGCTCGGCCTGTCTGTCTTCACGGTGAGTGCGTGCGCGGGGTTGGGGGTGGGGTCGCGCGCGTGTGTGTTGGGGGGAGTCCGTGGGGGGGGTCTTCATGCGCAAAGGGGAATCGTTCATGTGGGGTACCCTTCCGCCTCCCTCCCTTGCCTCCTTCAAGGCCCATCTCAACTCTTCGACCCCGCTTTTCGGTCACCCTCCTACCCCCACCCTCCACCCCTCGGGTCCAAACCCCTGACTGTTCAGCGGTTTGGGACGTCCTCTCGACCTGGAAGGCGCTGTGTAAATGTTGTTGGTTGTTGTTGTTGTATCACTCGGGGCGAGGGGTCCAATTCCCCCTGGATTTCAGGATGTTCCAGGTTAATCCCATTGTGTTGTTCACAGCATCAAACGTCCGATCAAATCCCAGAGCTCTGTCAGCAGCAACCCAGAGTGACACCAGATAGTGTCTGTGACAGGTCAGTGCTCGGGGGTGGGGGACGGGTAGAGAGTAGGTACTGGGGGGGCAGAGCGAGCAAATGGAGGGCAGAGAGCGGGCACTGGGGGGGGCAGAGTGCGAGCCCTGGGGGGGGGGGGCAGAGCGCGGACATTGGGGGGAGCTAAAACTTTGTTGGTTGGAGGCCAGTGTGTGTGAGTGCGTTTGGGGTGTGGGGGTGTGTTTGTGGTGTGTGTGGGTGGTAGGGGCTGTTTGTGACTATGTTTGTGTGTGTGGATGGAGGTGGGATGGGGGGGTGGGCTGGAGTGCGTCTGTGTGCGCGGGTGGAGGATGGGGGGGGGGGGGGGGAGTGGGGGCGTGGGTGGTTTCTGAGCATCTCAATACATCCATGGCTCACCCTCTGCAGGTCACAGGCCAGAAAGAAACACAAGAAAGAGAAGAAGAAGAAAAAGGAGAAGAAGAAAAAGAAACACAAAGATCGAACGAGAGACGATTCCAGAGAGAGGTGGAGCTCCCTATGCTCTAACCCCATTTCCCCCCCCTCCCGCACCCCCCCCCCCCCCCCCCCCCCCCCATCTCCCACGGTATCTGTGGAGCTCTCTACCCTAACCCCATTCCCTGCTCTCTCCCCGTGGTGTGTGTGTGTGTGGCATTACGCTCCCACTGATCTCACTCTCTCTCTCCTATTTCTCTCTCTCAGGAAGGTCCGGTCATCACGGAAACGGCACAGTCCATCAGCCCAGCCCCCGGTAGGGGAGGGGCGGGGGCGAGCTCGCCACGACACCGAGACGTCGGAGGAGGAGAGCGGAGCGATCCAGCCACACCGCGCCAGGGCCACCAAACGCCGGAGAGACAGCCGATAGCAAAGAGCTGAGGCCAGCGGTGACGGCGGTGGTGGAGGGGAGAGAGAGAGAGAGAGAGAGAGAGACGTGGCCCCTTTAACCGCTTGCGAGGCGAGCGCTCTAAACCACTACCCTCCGTGACTCCGTAAGTGGGAACCCAGTGGTCAGCCGATCGTTTTTCCGGGGATAATAATCCCTCCAAAATAAATAAATCAATAAAATAATAATAAATATACTTAAGTCAATTCACTTTACAGTGAATCCCGTGAAGCCCTTTGAGACATCCCGAAGACGTGATAAGGCCCGATATGAAATGCAAAGGTTATTATTATATTAAATCGAACTGAATAGCAGAGACAATTGGAGTTTAATACAGATAAGGGCTTCAACCCACAAACCTGACTTGGGAGGCGAGAATCCTACCAACTGAGCCAGTCTTGAGACATGGAGTGAGATACGAGGAACGATTATAATAATAATCCCTGCATTTGCCACAGCGCCTCATCCCGTAGTCGAGACGTCTCAAAGGGCTTCACAGAACATACTGTAAAGCGAATTGACTGCGTATTTTGTGGGCGAAACGCGGCAGCCGATTGCGCACAGCGAACAACGTCCCCGCAAACAGCGGTGGATTGAGCCACCAAATCGTATATTTTTGAAGGATTATCGTCCCCCGGGACCGTGGAAAAAATCTTCATAATGCCGACTGTTTTGGAAGTTGCTTTTCCCGCTGTTTTGTTTTAAAAGTCCTCCGCCTGCTTGCGTGGCGCTCTTTTCTCCCAGCGCTGCGTTGCCGAGTGTCTGTAGAGTTATCAGGCGCAGGTTGGAGAGAGCCAAGACTTGGGGTCTCCGGGGGAAGAGAGATGGGAACTACACAGTGTCTTTGACATATTCATCCAGGGAACGGCAAACAAGAAAGCGTGTACCATCCCATCGCAGTGACCCTCTCCCAGACCCTGACGTTCCCCAGAGAGCGAGAGAGGGAGAGAGACACCACCTTTTTTTGTTCGATACAAAACTTTTTTTTTTTTACACACACTGCTGTTTTCTTTAATAAATAAATGGATTTTTTTTCCCCCAACAAAATCCAGAGGTTTATTTCCCGGCATCCTGGCCAGTGCCCAACACGATGGGAATGGCTGGGGTTTGACTCAAGGAGTCACACTCAGGTGTACAACTCGCATTTATTTACACGCCCGTACCTCAAGTCCAATCACCCGCCATTGCCCTGTATCCCAAGGCTTTTGGGGGAAGATACGTTGATATAGCAACTTGTCATGTTGAGACGTCTCAAAGCGCTTCACAGAATATAAAGTGAATTGACTGTGTATTTTGTGGGCAAATCACCTAACCAATTGCGCACAGCAGCGTCCCACAAGCAGTCGTGGATTGATTGGCCACATTACTGGAGGCGTGTGGAGCAAACCCCTCACTGTCCAGCGCCTTGGGACGTCCTCCCAACGTGTAAATGTAATTGGTTGCATCTCCCTCTGTGGCACTGGATGGAGACGATAGTCTCAGTGAAGACCTTTGAAGTGACCGTCTTCGGTGCGACGAAGAAATGTGCGAGGGGAAGGGAGAGGGAGGCACGGAACAGCAGAGAGATTTGTATTCTAATAGCTTTAATTACAGTGCTTGTTCGTCCAAATGAAAACTGAAACAAGTGATACAAAACTGATTAGTATTTGTGTGTAAGGAAAGCATTGACTTCACATCAATAACTCGTTCCAATAGATCCACACATCTCAGCTTCGGGTGTCAAAACTCAACCATGTGGGGGTGTGGCAGGGGAGGGAGGGGGGAAGAAGGGGAAAAGAGAGTAGTGGGGAGGGAGGGGGGGGGGGGCTAAGAGAGAGAAAAAAAAATGACACCTATTCACTGGCAAACCAGATCCTTGCAGTTACCCCAATGTATTGGTTGAATGATCCGGTCGGAAGCTCCACTTGGAACAAACTGTTTTGGTTGCGGGAATGAATGGAGGGAAGGAAGAGGGACAGGGAGGGAGGGAGGGAGGAAGGGAGAGGAGGTAATAAAATGCCTGACAATATCATGTAGTTGCTGTGTTTGGGTGGGAGGGGGACAATTTTAACTGCCTCACATAAGCAGCCAGCGATATGATCTCCCCCTGCCCCAGGAAACAAGCACTTGGGAGCTGGGGTTGGTTTTCGGTGGTGGGGGTGGGGGGGGGGGGGGTTGGGGGGGAAAGAAAAGAGTTGTGGAGGAGTTAGTTTGAGGATTGATTTCTTTTGATAAAGGGTGGGGGGGGGGGGGGGAGGAAATCAGCAGAGACTCTTATCGTCAGGAGGGGAAAAAAGTCAATGGGAAAAACTTCATACACACACACACACACAGCTCACTCACACACCAATAAAGAGAAATCGAAGAATATGTTTTGATACAGATAAGCTGCCCCCCCCCCTCCCTCTCTCCCAGCACTTACTGCCTCCCCCACCCCCCCCCAAAGAATGATGCAATTCACCCTAATGCAAAAGCTGAGCTGAACAAATAATGGCCCCCTGGTCTAGGAAAACATAAAAATGACACACACATACACACACACAATACTCAAGACATACACTACAGACACAAGCACACAACACACCCGCCCGCACAGATACACCCCCACACATCAACAGACCCCCACACCCCCTCACGCACTTCAAGAGAACAGAACTACCTCGAAAGCAAGCGATAAAGTCGTTTTGAAAAGGCAAAGCCCCCGCTTCCCCAAAGCAAGAGCGAGATGCAGAAAGATTAACGGGTAAGAGGGAAACTATTTCCATCAGCCCACCCCCCCAGCAAAGCCCAAAGAGAAGCCATTGCCACGAGGTGGGGCGGGTGGATGGGTGGGTGGGTGGGGGGGAAGAGAGAGAGAAGCGCAGTGCGGGTGGGGACGAGGCGTTGAAACCAGTACGTTTGTGGTCCTGCACATTGGAAGAAAATTAAAAACCCTGCGCTCTCCCCCCCCACCCCCTCCCTCTCCCTCCCCCCCACCCTGCTCCCTCCCCTACCCTCCCCCCCCACCTCTCTCTCTCTCTCTCTCTATCCTGAAATCCTAACTTTGGTCAATAGGAAATTTAGACTCCGAGAGAGAGAGAGAGAGACACAGACACTGAACGAAAAGAAAAAAAACACAACTCCAACTCACAACGTTAAAAAAAGCCAATTAAGCTTTCCCGGGACACGGAGCCGGGAATACAGTGTCCGAGGAAGGGGGGGGGGGGGGGGAGGGAAGGAAGGAAAGTGATGTGGGGAGGGGGTGGGGGAGAGAGACCTCGTACTTTTCCCAATAAAACTTTGGTTGTGTACATCTGTCCAGTACTCGATACATAAATCTTCACACAGAACAAAAATGATAAAACACACATGATAAAACCGAGATTAAAAAAGGTCGGGGGGATGGGGTGGGGTAGAGGGGAGATATTGATTGCATAGGAGTAGCAGGAAGCTGCCTCATTACAAAAGTGACTATTTACATTTAAATAAGAAACCGGGGGGGGGGGGGGGGGGGGGCGGGGGCGGGGGCTGGGCTTTCCATCTCACGACTCTTTGCCCTGACGCTACACGACAACGCCGTGTAGTGATTTTAGTTTTTTTTTGTTAATTAATCAGATGTAATGAAGCACATTCCTGACACTCGGATACTGACAAGTTGGTAGCAGTTTGCCACACAATAGAGAATAAAAGATGAGAGGAGGGGTGGGGGGTGGAGAGGAGGAGGGAGGGAGGGAGGGGAGGGAGGGAGGGAGGGAGGGGGTAGGGAGAGGACCGCCGAGAGTTCATTTGGTGCCCCGCAGTTGTACGGACAGCCAGTCCAATCCTTCATATAGCCCGTCGCCGCTGGTGGCACAGGTGGCCTGAATGTACCAGTTCCTGTGACGCAGTGAGTGTAGACCGAGTTTGTCTGTGATCTCTGCTGCGTTCATAGCGTTAGGCAGGTCCTGAGGGATAAACAAGAGCAGACAAAGGTTGCAACAGGTGAGGGACAGGACCGCAGGAGAGCATTTTCCGTCGCTGGCTTGAATAGGGTTTTTAAAAAAAAAAACACTTTTATAATAATAATAATAATCCTTTAGCCGAGACGTCTCAAAGCGCTTCACAGGATGTACTGTAAAGCGAATTGCCTGTATATTTTGTGGGCGAGAAGTGGTAGTTAATTTGCGCGCAGGAGCGTCCCACAAACAGTCGTGGGTTGAGTGAATACTTTTTTTTTTGAGGGATTATTGCCCCCGGAAAGCGATCCACCAATCAACTAACAACCAGGTTCCTACTTACTGCTCGGCAAACAACAGCTTATAGCGCCCTCGCGCAGGGTGGCATCCTAGAACGTTTGAACAGAGGCGGGTGCGTGGAGGAAGGAAACTTGCCTGAGGTTTCGCCTTGCCCAGTAATCCACCCCCGGGGTCCTCTCGCTTGCGAGGAGAACCCTCTAACTACTACGCTACAGGACTCCTGATCACTACTACTCCTCTTATTCCCCTCAATCAAATTCTTCCTCAAATAGAAACAAAACCAAAATGTAAAATGGCGTTTGGAACTCTGTACTCTTAAGAGGAAGCGGCTATCTTTGTCACACTGCTGGGAAACTCGCCTAAACTGCTTGTTTGAACTTCTCCCTATCCCCCCCCCCCCCCTCTCTCACACATACACACACAGACTTTCTTGCTCTTTGCCCCTATAATAATCCTTGCATTTGGTATTGCGAGTCATCACGTCGTCGAGACGACTCAAAGCGCTTCACAGGATATACTGTAAAACAAACTGACTGTATATTTTGTGGGCGAAACACAGCAGCCAATCGCACAGCAGTGTCCCACAGACAGTCATGGATTGAGTGACCAAATTATTTTTTTTTTAAAAAAAACTTAATTGTATTTTTTTTGACAGGAGTATTTTCCCCTGGAAAAGCGATCTGTCAATTGACTAACAACCGGGTTCTCCTCCTTACGGCTAGGTAAACAGAAGCGTGTGGAGTAAGGAAACTTGCCTAAGGTTTCACCCCACCCGGGAATTGAACCCGGGTCCTCTCGCTTGCGAGGGGGCTATGTCAAATGTAAGGATTATTATTATAACTTTCATTTGTGGCCCCTCCCTCCCTTTCCTTCAGTGTATGGTAATCCCAGTTTCCCCCAACAAGGAATATGGAAATAGTATTCAGGACGTATGGCAAAGTGCATGTTTCTGTCTCTCTCTCTCTCTCTCTCTCTTACCTGTTTGTTGGCAAACACTAGCAACACAGCGTCTCGGAGCTCATCTTCTGCCAGCATTCTCATGAGCTCTTCCCTGGCCTCATTCACTCGCTCTCGGTCATTGCTGTCCACCACAAAGATCAAGCCTGAATAGATAGCGGAGGAGAGGTTACAGTCACAGTTACATGTTCTGACTAATGCTCAGCTCTTTACTACAGACTGTATGGCACAGAATTTTTTTTTTTTTTTTTTTTTTGAAGGGATGATTACCTCTGGAAAGCGACCCACCAATCGACTAACAACCAGGCACTGCTGGGTAAAAAGAAGCATGTGGAGTAAGGAAACTTGTTTAAGGATTCACCCCACCCAGGTATCGAACCCGGATCCTCTCACTTGCGAGGCGAGGGCTCTAACCACTTTACGCTACAGAGCTTCACAAAAAAGTCTCCGCCCATTTATTCCCAGTGTCTGAATTGGGATGTGAGATTTGTGGATACTCCTCTAAGGTTCCTACCCTCTAGGCCATAGACGGCTTCTTTATTTTTTCTACCAAAAAATGAAGAGACACATCTAAATCACTAAATAGCAAGTCTCCTGTAAAAATTACTATAAGCAAACTTGGGCCTGAGAGGGTGGTAGAAGCAGATTCAATAAGACCTTTCAAAAGGGAATTGGATAGATTTTTGAATAATAATAATCCTTGCATGTGATATAGCGCTTTTCAAGTCTTCAAGATGTCAAAGCGTTTCAGAATATACTGTAAAGTGAATTGACTGTATATTTGTGGGCGAAACACAGCATCCAATTGCGCACAGCAGCGTCCCACAAACAGTCGTGCATTGAAGTGACCAATTTATTATTTTTTTTTCTTGAGGGATTATTATCAGGCGTGTGGAGTAAGGAAACTTGCCCAAGGTTTCGCCCTGCCGGGAATCGAACCCAGGTCTCTCGCTTGCAAGGCGAGTGCTCTAACCACTGAGCTACAGGACTCCATAAAAATTACTTTAAAAAATTTGAAATGCTATGGGGAAAGACTGGGATTGATTGGATAGCTCTTTCAAAGAGCTGTCGCAGGCACGATGGGCCGAATGGCATCCTTCTGCACTGCAAGATTCTATGGTTCTGTATAAAGAACCTGCGCTATAACAGGGTTCAACTATAGTCACAGGAGAGGGATAGCGAGGTAAAAGGAGAAAAGAATGACAAGTGATTGATGTCAGCCTGGCTCTGTTGGTAATTTTCTCTCTCTCTCGTCTCTGGATCAGAAGGTTGTGGGTTCAAGCGCCACGTCAACAGTTGGAACATATGCTATCGGTTTATTTATTTTGTAGGAGTTGAATTTTGCATCGTCTTAAATATGAACCTAACCTGGGGGTGGGGGGTTGGGGGAGAGGAGATGTAGAAGAGGGTAAGAGACGACATCAAGAGGAGAGATTTGGCGAGAAAAAAAAAGGAAAATAGTAGCTCGGGATATAGACTATAGTTTGGGTTGACATGTGCATGTTGCTGCCAGTATGGGGGAAGGCGAACTAGATGGACCCTGGTCTTCTTTCGTCCAGCAAATTCTTAGGTCCTTAATAGGTCTCTCAGCAGGGCTTTGAGCAGAGGCAGCACACTGGGTTATAAAGAACCTCCCTGCCCTCCTGCCTGTACTCACCCTGTGTGTTCTGAAAGTAATGGCGCCAAAGAGGTCGGATTTTGTCCTGTCCGCCCACGTCCCAGACTGTGAAGCTAATGTTCTTATATTCTACAGTTTCTACATTGAAGCCTGTGGTGGGGAGAGAGCGGAGAGGGTAAGGAGAACATTCAATCAATATATACAGCCAGTAAGTCAGCAACATCAACAACAAGCATCTATATAATACCCTTCAAACAGGGTAGCCCTTCAGTGCTTGCAGTTAATCCACCCCGATTCTAATCTCTCCAGATTATAAGAACGCTTGCATTTGATAAAGCCCCTTATCACGTCGATGAGACATCTCAAAGCGCTTCATGGAACATATTGTAAAATTAACTGACTGTGTATTTTGTGGGCCAAATGCAGCAGCTTCCCACAAACAGTTGTGGATTGAGGAACCACATTTCTTTTGGAGGCATTATTAACCTCGTGGAAAGCAAATCCACCAATTGACTAACAATCAGGTTCCTACTTACTGCTAGGTAAACAGAGGCATGCGTGTGGAGTAAGGAAACCTGCCTAAGGTTCGGCTCTGCCCAGGAATCAAACCCAGGTCCTCTCGCTTACGAGGCAATCGCACTAACCCTCGGGAATTTTACAAGGGACTTAGATAGTTTGCAGATGATACCAAGCCAGTAAAACTAGAAGATTCCTAGTTCCCACCACCTCCCCTCCCCACCCAAGCGAGACGAGTACTCACCTATAGTGGGAATAGTGGTTACGATTTCCCCCAGCTTAAGCTTATATAAAATGGTGGTCTTCCCAGCCGCGTCGAGGCCCACCATAAGAATACGCATTTCCTTCTTGCCAAAAAAGCCCTTGAGAAAGCTGGTCCACCCACCCATGGTGAGAGTATCTGTCTGGACTCACAACCTCTAATATTGATCTGAAAGGGAGAAAGACAGCGAGAGAACGTCAGGCACCATAGGAATAAATTCATAGTCAACACTCAGGGATGTGATTTTTTTTTCTGGTCAGCCGGGTCGGACATGTGGAAACCCATCACCGTTGCTTAAGAGTCTCCAAACCAAGCTGAGAATTCCATGCATCCCACTCAGACCTGGAAATCCCAGAAATAGATTGTTGGAATGCAATGCGCACTTGCTCCCTGGAGGGACGCACCCCGCTTACCTAATACCAGAGCGTATTAGGCACAGGTTGGCAAGAGTCAAGGTTTGGGGACCCCAGAGTGTGCGTTGGGGGTAACTACTGGAGTCTAACCAGCTAAAACCCCGTAGCTTGCCATTGATATCACTGTCTGGCAAACTTTCCTGCTGCTTGTCCAGCTAAGACCATCCTACCTGTTAGGGCTTTGGCTTGCAGGGTTAACAGGAGCTGAGTGGGAGGGCTTCGCTGCCTCCTAGTGACTGATCAGCGACATGAAAGAAGGTGAGGAAAAAAGATCTGTTGTAACATTGCTCTGAAATTTCTCACTTGTATGACAGACATGGTGAATTCAGAATTGAGTCAACATTCTGCAAGTGTCTTGGTAGTCTGATCCCTGAGCCAGCCAGGGTACTCCAGGGCTCTGCTGATGGCAATACAACCCCTTGGCCGGTCTTGGAAGGGCAGACCAGTCACTGCGGTCAGACAATCATCCCACTCCGCTCCCGTTAATCCTGTTAACAGGTGGGTGACCCGAGCTGGACAAGCAATAGGAAACCTGCCTAATACTCTCCAGAATTAGGTCAGCGGGATGCGCCCCTCCAGCGAACTTCATTCCAATAAACATCTCTGGAATTTCCAAGTGTCGGTGGGATGCATGGAATTCTCAGTTTGGTTTAGAGACTCTTAAGCGACGGTAATGGAAGCTTTCTGTGTGTGTGTGTGTGTCAGACACCTGGGTGACCAAAAATACCTCGAGACCCAAAGGTGAGAGTGCTACCACCTGAGCCACATTGGCTCATCTCTTTTACACACAGAGAGAGATGCTAATCACGATTCCCAAATGACTAATTGAGTATAATCGTAAAATAATCAACTAAATATTTAACTGAAGATCAACAGTGGAGCAGCAAATCTGCACTGTCATAACGAAACTACAACCAATCCAAGGTTACTAAAACTACGTTCCAACTCCATGACTGTTCGTAGTTAAAAAAAAGTTCAAACCTCATTCATGCAACTATTTGACTATTAATAATAATCCTTGCATTTGATATAGCGCCTTATCACCTCGTTGATACGTCCCAAAGAGCTTCATAGAATATACTGTAAAGAGAATTTTGTGGGAGAAACACAGCAGGCAGTTGCCTTACAAGCAGTCGTATATTGAGTGACCAAATTCTTTAGGTAAGCAGAGGCGTGTGGAGTAAGGAAACTTAGGTTTGCCCTACTTGGGACTCAAACCCAGGACCTCTCGCTTGCGAGGCGAGTGGTCTAACCACCCTACAGCACTCTATTGAAACCACCTCCTGAAGTGACCGATTTATATCAATGGCAAGCTATGGGGTTTATTATATCAAGTCAACGCTAAGTGCAATACAGCAGAACCTGGTCAGAACGAGCTGCGGTGGATTGGTGACTAGACCCAGGATGACTTGGTGACACATGCTGATTTTTGGCCAACCCGCGGTTTACAGGTCATCATTTCCCTTGCGAAAGTTCACTTTCACAAAGGAAATGATGTCAGCAGCACTTCCTCACATAAAGTGACTTCAGTGGGGATCTGGCAAAACACGAAACAGCATGTACCAGCAATTTGATGCCCTGGATGTCGGTGATTTTTCCATGCTTTGTTATATAGGTAAGCACAACAAATTGCATTTACCCAGTGACTTTCCCAAAGCCCCGGACAGTCAAGAATCTGCACCCGAGCTGGGGGATGGGATCGAGACGGGTGGAGGGCAAGGAGGGGCAGGTTGTGGTTGTGGGAAGGTGACCGAGATCAAAGAGGAAGGTTGAGACAGGCCTTGAAGGAGGCAAGGGGAGGGGGTGAGGCATAGGGATTCTGGGATGGAGTTGAGGGTGGGGGTCAGAAAGGCCGAAGGCCCGACAACAACAACTTGCAGTTATATAGCATCCTTCATGCGGCGTCTTGGAGCTTAATGGTGTCTCGGACGATGTTGGCCGGTGCAGCGCGAGGGTCATGGAGCAGGCGAAATACACGGGTTACAAGCAGGAAATTTGGACTGATCGATGCTTCAGAAGTAGTGAGGGGAGAGATTTTGAAGGGATTCGAATGTCAAGACCAAGTCTATCTATCCGCTGGACTGCTGGGAGCCAGTAGAGCCTGGCAAGGGTGGGAGATGAGATCAGAGCAACAGGAGAAAAAGTGCCGACAAGAACTAATAAAATAATCTCACTCTTTTTGAGAACGAATGCAACACGCCTTTCTTTTAAAAAAAAATCCTTTCCCAAGAAACTATTATTTTGAAATCTACCACTCCTTCAGATGAGACATTAAACCGTGACCCAATCTACCAGTTCTTAGGCCTGTATTTTAGTGGTTAGAGAACTCGCCTCGCAGGCAAGGTGATCTGGGTTTGATTCCCGGACGGGGCGAAATATTGGGCGAGCTTCCTTACTCCACAGGCCCCTGTTGTTAGTCAATTTGCGGATTGCTTTTCCCTTAAAAAATCATAATAATGTGGTCACTCAATCCACGACCGTCTGTGGGACACTGCTGTGCGCAATTGGCTGCCGCCTTTCACCCACAAAATACAATCAATACGCTTCACAGTACATTCCTGTGAAGCGCTGTGAGACGCCTCAAAGACGTGATGAGGTGCTGTATCAAATGCAAGGTTTATTATTATTATTTGGCGGATGCTAAGGGTCTTGTGCGCTATCAAAAAAAGGGAAGGGAGTTCTCTCCTCGACCCCTCCAACAATTTCCAATTCCAACTCCAAAAAGTTGGCCATTCACCTCAAGGCTGTTTCTGAGATCTAACGGTGTGAGAAATGGCCACACTGGACAGTAATTACAGTGATGTGCACACACAGGGTCTAGAAAAACTTGAACGTAGCTTCTTTGGCCCACACTTGGCAGCCCCTCCACAGATGAGACCAGAAATTCAGTTTGCATGAATGTGCACTTTGCCTTTCATGTCGGGCGAATCCCTCAAAACATTAGCAGAACGTAACTTATTCTCAATCAATACAGTCACCTCTACTGCAATGCACTGCACAGGTTAGTAAAAGCAGTTGTGTTATACTGACATCCTTCAGGCATGAAAGGCACTCTATCAAATATAATGATTTTTCTTATTATCTGTCTCGACAATACCAGGCTCCAGAAACCTTCAATGAGAGTATAATCAGAGGCCCTACTGCCGTCTGATGTTAATTCATGACAATTATAAATTACAGTTACACAGCGCCTTTCACATCAGGAGGATGCCCTAAGGCGCTGGACAGTTAGAGAATTGGACCCGAGCACAGGGTTGGAATCAGGAAGGGAGGAGGACAGGGAGGGTGGGGGTAGACCCACCTTGGGGGTGACCGAATGTGCAGTCAAAGAGGAGGGTCTTCAGACATGCCTTGAAGGAGGCAAGGGAGGAAATAAGGCAAAGGGGCGGTGGGATGGAGTTCCAAAGGGTGGGGTTCAGAGGCTGAAGGCCCGACTGCCGATGGTGGGTGGGCCGGGTGGGGTAACGTGGAGCAAGCCGGAACCCGCTGAGCGGAGGGAGCGGACAGGTCTGCATGGAGTTTGCAGGCCATGGAAGGCTTTGATGGTGAGGACAAAGATTTTGAACTCTATTCCCTGGGGTGGGGGGGGGGGGGAGCCAGTGGAGGCGGGTGAGGGTGAGAGGGTCACTCGTACATCAATCATTGACCTTGTAGTATCTGATGAAGTCATAGCCAGCTATAGAGTTTGGACATCGCTCTTCAGTCAACAAACAAACACACACCCAACTGTGCTCAATTGAGTCCATTCTCTCATTCCCAGTTGCAACAAAGCATGGAAAAATCGCAAATGCTCATAGTTCATCCCTCTCTCATGCCCCAAATGGGAAGCGGATGGCAGGAGTAAGAAAATTCTACTACTAATAATCCTTGCATTTGATATAGCGCCTTATCACATTGTTCAGACATCCCAAAGCGCTTCGCAGGATATACTGTAAAGTGGATTGACTGTGTATTTTGTGGGCGAAACGCAGCAGCCAATGGTGCACAAACAGCCATGGAGTGAGTGAACAATTTTATTTTGAAGGATTGTCGGCCAGGACACCAGGAGAGAGAAACTCCCTTCTCTTTTCGAATAGTGCCATGCGATCTTTAAGGTCCACCTGGACGGCACCTCTGAACATGCGATACCCCCAGCACTGCAATGGAGCATCACCTTAGACCGTGTGATTCGAAGCCCCGACGTGGGGGCTGACTCAGGAGGCGAGAGCGCTATCACTGAGCCAAGAAAGAAAAGTGGTGACACCTTCGTTTCTCCTTTTACAAAATGTTACAACAGACAGGAAGTAAAAGGAGAGGAAGAGAATGACAGCAATCTTCGATTGCAGTAATAAAATGAAAACCAGAGCAGCTGTCCTAACCAAACAACATCACGCCACTGCAGCTGAAATTACTCCAGATGGAGGGAAGTCAGCAGTTCATGGATCAATCAAAAGTGGTTGATCCACAGCCGCAAAAATCAGAAATTCACGTGAATAAAGACTATCAGTGTGGAAACACCCAGTTAGCAAAATAATAAGAATAACCCTCGCCTTTGATACGGCATCTTATCATATCACTGAGACGTATCAAAGCACTTCAGAGAATAAATTGTAAACTGCATTGACGGTATATTTTGTGGGCGAAACGCAGCAGCTAAGTGCACACAGCAATTTCCCAAACGGTCGTCAATTTTTTTCCTCCAGGATTAACCCCCAGAAAGCAATCTGCTAATTTGACTAACAACCGAGTTCCTATTTACTGCTTGGTAAACAGATG